CTGGAGGTGGCCCGTGCGTCCCTAGTCGCATCGCTGTCCTTTTGGCCCTGGCCAGCCGCCTCGCGCCTCGCCACCCCTGACTCCCGTGCCCTAACGGCTGACGCCTCCCTTTTCCTTATTTTTCCGTTGTGGGCTCCCAGGGTGCCCTGGCTTGGCGTCCCTTTGCCGTGGTCCTCCCCCCCGTTGTGCCACTCGCTCCCCCCGCCCCTCCGGCCACCCCCGCAATACCTGGTCGGCCCCGCACGACGTCTTATGGCTGCCTGGTCGTCCTGGTTTCCTCCTTCCGTCCCCGCTCACTCGCCTGTCGCCTACCCGACACATAAGTGCCTGGCCCACCGCCGCCCTGGCCGCCCTGGCTGGCTCGTGTGACTTTCGTCGTGGCGCCTGCGATACACACATCCCTCTTGTCCTCACCCGTGGACCGATACAGACATATAACAAAACACACAGACCCGGCGTTCTTCATACTCACGCCTGTTACAGAAAGTGGCTCTTTCATATTCCCCGCCCTCCACACCCCTTTTTCTTTTCCCACACCCCCGGACACACATGACACAGACACAGCAAAACACGTCATCGCGCTCAGACACCCCGCCCGTTTCTGCTGTTCGGAGTGCCATTGTGTGATCGGATACAGCAGATAACAGATACACATACACCCTCGACTGTCCTCCCGTACACGTCCGTCGGTCCATGGGTCCGCGCTGGGCCCCTCCCGCTTTGGTGTTAGAGCCCAATTCCTTTTTCTCGCCGCCTTGTCCGGCCGTCCCTGCACCCCGCCCTCCGCCACAGTCCGGGGCGTTCCACCCCCCCCTTCACCTCCCGTCTCCCCTGCCACCCCCCCCGCCCACCCCCGCCCCCCGCCCCCCAGCCCACATGCCCATGGTCTCTCGCTGGCTCCGACCTGCCCTGGCCGCCGCGCGGGTGGCCACGCTGCACACGGCCTGCACCCCTCCCGCCGGCTCTCTGGGCTGGCGGGGTCCTACTGCGCCCACGGCCCTCCCGGTGCCCGACATGCCTTGGGCCACCATTATCATCGGATCCGTTCCCCGTCTCCCCGGCCCGCTACTCGCTCCTGCGTCTGTCCACCCGCCACGGCCTCCGTCCTCTCCCCCTCTCCCCCCTTTTTTTTTTCTCCCTCCCCTCCCCCCCACCGCACCACCCTGTTTCGACACTTGCCCGGCCTCTTTTTGCCGGCCACGTCCTTTTGCCCTCTTGCCGTGATGGCAACCCGTGCTCGCCCAGGTTCCCCCCTTGATCGGTCTGGCCCCCCACGCGTCTCACTCGGCCTCCCTTCACTCTTTGTTTCCTTGACCCACTGGGCTGTGGTGGGCCCTTGTGCGTCGTCGCGAGACTCGCCACGTCACTTCCCTTTTCCCGCTTCGCTTGGCATCTGCCGGCTCCCCCATGCTTTTGTTTTCTTCGCTCTATCATCTATCCCTGCCATCTCGGTCCCCGCGCCCTTGTCGTGCGCGCCGCTCCCTGCGCCTGTCCCGGCTTTGCCCGCACCAAGTTGGCCCGGCTCGGACGGCCGGTGTTGGCTTACGCCCCTCCACGTCGTTCCTCCCAACGCTGGGACCTCGCGGCTGGGTTGAGTACCGCCTTTCTGGTCTTCCCGTTGCGCCCTCCTTCCCTGCCCCTTCCCCGGGCCTCCCCTCACTCCCCCGCGAGGGACCCTCCCGTCGGGCGGCTCCCTTCCCTGCCCGTCCTGGGCTACCGGCAGAGGCCCTCCTCCGGTGGCTCTTCTGCGGCCAGGCGCGCCTTACTTGGCGGTCCACCCTCCCCTATACTGCCCTGACCCCGTGCCCTGACCGCCTCACCGGCGGCCTTCCGCACGCAGCTTCCACTGTTTTTTGATGGCCGGTGGTGGACGGGGGCCGGCCCGGCCTCGTGTCCGGGAGCCATCGGTGGTCACTCATAGATCCTTAGATGCTCCGGCTTGTGGGCCTGTGGTCCGTTGGGGTACTTGGGTCCGTCCTAGCCGTTGCTCGTCTTTACCCTGCTGTTCTGCTCGCTCGCACCTCACTTTCGCAGCTCCTCCGTTTTCTCATTCTTCTCTGCCTTCATTCTCCTCCCTCCGTTGTGCGGCCCGGCTTACATCTGGTGTCCCTGCCCGTCCACGCGCGGCTGCCGCCCTGGACTTGGACCACCTGGGATCTGATTGTAATGTCTGCACCTCCCGGTAGGCTGTTGCCCTGTGCCTCCTCGTGGCCCCGCGGGTGTTCCCCTGGCGGGCGGCGGTGGTGGCCCTCCTCCTCCCCCGCCTTTCGCTTGTGCTCTTTCGGGCAGACATCCTCCGTCCAAGTACCCGCCCAGGGGCCACCTCCCCCTGCGCAACCCTGGAGGTGGGTGCCCCCGTCACAGCCATCCAACCCTCACCTTTGAGCCCGTCCTCTGCATTTGGTCATACACCCAACCGCCATGTCCTGGCAACGTTTGTGGAGCTCTTTGTGGAGTCTAGCAAGCGTGCACTCCAAATGACTGGCAACCACATGGTATACGTCCATGGAAAGAGCAATCCAGTCAGAGCAGACTCCATTCAAGTTGGAGACAGCCTGCTTGGCAAGAACAATGAACCATTGAAAGTGACCAAGATCCGTGAAACACAAAAGAAAGGAATCTACGCTCCTCTGACAAAGAGTGGTACGATTGTAGTCGACAATATTCTTGCTTCCAATTACATCTCCCTGCAGGACAATGCGGCAGAATATGTCGAATTATCATTCCTCCCCAAAGTCCTCTCCCATCATGCTCTTTCGCATCTTTGGATGGCACCATTCCGCTTGTTATGTTCGACGACATCCACGCAGTTTTGCGAGAGTGTCAATGAGAACGGACTCTCCCAGTATGCCGCCTTTGGATTCCAGTTTGCAGAGTGGGGACAATCTCAAAACATCCTTGTGCAGATCCCGTTCCTGATTGCAACAGTTGTGGTCCTTGCCCTGTTTGCCTTGATGGAGGTTGTCGTAGGTCTCCCAATGACATCCCTCGCCCTTCTTGCAAGTGGTGTCGGCCTCTCGTATATGACAAGAGGATTGCACGCTAGCTTCACTATTGGCGCAAGCACCAAGCAAAAAGTAGCATAGAAAGGGGCAGAAGCTAGTCCACATTTTAAAGGTACTGTAATACACAACATTGCATGATTGAAAGATACACAATGGAATGCTTCCCATCTGAGATCGATTCCTCAACGAAGCTACATGTAGATTTGGAAAGAGCTCCAGATTTGGTTTTGCTGTGTAGATATCCTACATCAAAATGGCCAAGGGATGAAACTGCAAAAGAGCTACTAGTACAGATGCGAGTCACACCCAAAACGCTCTCACAGGCATTGTGCCCCTTTAACAGTGCCTGTAACTGAGACTGGCCTAACCCCATAGTAAGGATCCCCGGTTCAAAGAGAGGTGATCAGTTCCAGTTTTAGAAGCAATTTTGGATCAATGCCACTGGGCGGTGGCGAGGTCTTTGCTACTACTTGTACAGCTCTGGTATTCTCTTGATGGTTTCAGGTGCTCCTCCAGCCAACCGCAGGTATCCTTTGGATTGATCTTCCGAGCAATGTCCCAAAAAGAATTCTTTGTTGTAACTTCCCGACTGCCCCTTTTGAAGAATATTCTCCTTGTCTCCTGTGAGCTGTACCAGCTGCTCTTCCAAATGGGCACGCATGCCATGCCAGACCTTTTGGGCTTGCATGCATTGATCAAAATGCACAATATCAGTGGGAATGGAGTACTTGCGTGGCATTGAGTTGTTGGGGTCGTTGGTTTTGACAGCAATGCATGTCCATGGTTTGCGACAGGCTGTGTAATGGAAACTGTTAATTTCTGGAATCGGTGTGGTACGACAATCTTCACACGAGTCTGCGCCAGAGAGGCATTTTCCATTCTTTTTGGCATGGACAATGGCCTGCACAGCATTGTAGCGACAATTGTTGAGTTCTACCCAAGTACCTGGGACGTGAATGTCATAATAGTAGGCAACAAGTCCCTGCATGGCGCGGGCTCCCACAAATCCACCATAGCCCTTGCCACCCCAACCATTCTGTGGAGAAAAATCACCGACATAATTTGTAGTTTTGATAATCTCAATCAATTTGTCAAAGTGCTTTTGAGATGGTTTGAGTACCCAAAACCCAGCCTGGAAACCGGCATTGCGTCCGGGAAAGGTACTGTGATAATCTCGTGTAATCATGGCTTCAATATTGGAGGGCCATGGTGCTTTGGGATTTTCTCGTTGAACCAAGGCTCTTGTCTTTTCATCCGCTGTTCCCAGCATGGTATCAAAGAGAGCATCCATAGGTTTTTGAAAGATAAAATCAATATCAAGATGTACCACAATAGGTGCTGGTATCAGGTAGGCATACAATTTCACAAACTCGTGAACTCCACAGCATACTTCTTTGTGAATGTTCTTGCGCAAATAGTCATCCTGAAGATCCTTTT